AAGATAACATCAGTAAATAGGTGAATATGATGCTCTGTCAACATTTATCAACTTTTACTACTCGAGTGCAGAAAAGTATATACATACCTTCCAAGTGTCCCTGTTTAGGAGAACAGTCCCAAATCCCTCTGTCCCTATTTTTCAGCCTAATGTCCTTTTTTTCTAGGCGCTCCATATTGGTGTGTCCGAGTGTATAACAGAGCTCCACAGCAATAATACTCCCAGTAATGTGTCCGAGTGTATAACAGAGCTCCACAGCAATAATACTCCCAGTAATGTGTCCGAGTGTATAACAGAGCTCCACAGCAATAATACTCCCAGTAATGTATCCGAGTGTATAACAGAGCTCCACAGCAATAATACTCCCAGTAATGTATCTGAGTGTATAACAGAGCTCCACAGCAATAATACTCCCAGTAATGTGTCTGAGTGTATAACAGAGCTCCACAGCAATAATACTCCCAGTAATGTGTCTGAGTGTATAACAGAGCTCCACAGCAATAATACTCCCAGTAATGTTTCTGAGTGTATAACAGAGCTCCACAGCAATAATACTCCCAATAATGTGTCTGAGTGTATAGCAGAGCTCCACAATAACAATACTCCCAGTAATGTATCGGAGTGTATTACAGAGCTCCACAGCAATAATACTCCCAGTAATGTGTCTGAGTGTATTACAGAGCTCCACAGCAATAATACTCCCAGTAATGTGTCTGAGTGTATAACAGAGCTCCACAGCAATAATACTCCCAGTAATGTGTCTGAGTGTATAACAGAGCTCCTCAGCAATAACACTCCCAGTAATGTGTCTGAGTGTATAACAGAGCTCCACAGCAATAATACTCCCAGTAATGTGTCTGAGTGTATAACAGAGCTCCACAGCAATAATACTCCCAGTAATGTCTGAGTGTATAACAGAGCTCCACAGCAATAATACTCCCAGTAATGTGTCTGAGTGTATAACAGAGCTCCACAGCAATAATACTCCCAGTAATGTGTCTGAGTGTATAATAGAGCTCCACAGCAATAATACTCCCAGTAATGTGTCTGAGTGTATAACAGAGCACCACAGCAATATTACTCCCAGTAATGTGTCTGAGTGTATAACAGAGCACAGCAATAATACTCCCAGTAATGTGTCTGAGTGTATAACAGAGCTCCACAGCAATAATACTCCCAGTAATGTGTCTGAGTGTATAACAGAGCTCCCCAGCAATAATACTCCCAGTATTGTGTTATAACAGAGCCCCACAGCAATAATACTCCCAGTAATGTGTCTGAGTGTATAACAGAGCTCCACAGCAATAATACTCCCAGTAATGTGTTATAACACAGCTCCACAGTAATAATTCTCCCAGTAATGTGTCTGGGTGTATAACAGAGCTCCACAGCAATAATACTCCCAGTAATGTGTTATAACAGAGCTCCACAGTAATAATACTCCCAGTAATGTGTCTGGGTGTATAACAGAGCTCCACAGCAATAATACTCCCAGTAATGTGTTATAACACAGCTCCACAGTAATAATACTCCCAGTAATGTGTCTGGGTGTATAACAGAGCTCCACAGCAATAATACTCCCAGTAATGTGTTATAACAGAGCTCCACAATAATAATTCTCCCAGTAATGTGTCTGGGTGTATAACAGAGCTCCACAGCAATAATACTCCCAGTATTGTGTTATAACAGAGCCCCACAGCAATAATATTTCCAGTAATGTGTCTGAGTGTATAACAGAGCTCCACAGCAATAATACTCCCAGTAATGTGTTATAACACAGCTCCACAGTAATAATACTCCCAGTAATGTGTCTGGGTGTATAACAGAGATCCACAGCAATAATACTCCCAGTAGTAATACTCCCAGTAATGTGTTATAACCGAGCTCCCCAGCAATAATACTCCCAGTAATAATACTCCCAGTAATGTGTTATAACCGAGCTCCCCAGTAATAATACTCCCAGTAATGTGTTATAACCGAGCTCCCCAGCAATAATACTCCCAGTAATGTGTTATAACCGAGCTCCCCAGCAATAATACTCCCAGTAATAATACTCCCAGTAATGTGTTATAACACAGCTCCACAGTAATAATACTCCCAGTAATGTGTCTGGGTGTATAACAGAGCTCCACAGCAATAATACTCCCAGTAATGTGTTATAACACAGCTCCACAGTAATAATACTCCCAGTAATGTGTCTGGGTGTATAACAGAGCTCCACAGCAATAATACTCCCAGTAATGTGTTATAACAGAGCTCCACAGTAATAATTCTCCCAGTAATGTGTCTGGGTGTATAACAGAGCTCCACAGCAATAATACTCCCAGTAATGTGTCTGAGTGTATAACACAGCTCCACAGCAATAATACTCCCAGTAATGTGTCTGGGTGTATAACAGAGCTCCACAGCAATAATACTCCCAGTAATGTGTCTATGTATAACAGAGCTCCACAGCAATAATACTCCCAGTAATGTGTCTGAGTGTATAACAGAGCTCCACAGCAATAATACTCCCAGTAATGTGTTATAACACAGCTCCACAGTAATAATACTCCCAGTAATGTGTCTGGGTGTATAACAGAGCTCCACAGCAATAATACTCCCAGTAGTAATACTCCCAGTAATGTTTTATAACCGAGCTCCCCAGCAATAATACTCCCAGTAATAATACTCCCAGTAATGTGTTATAACCGAGCTCCCCAGCAATAATACTCCCAGTAATGTGTTATAACCGAGCTCCCCAGCAATAATACTCCCAGTAATAATACTCCCAGTAATGTGTTATAACCGAGCTCCCCAGTAATAATACTCCCAGTTATGTGTTATAACCGAGCCTCCCTCCCCCCCCCAAATTGGTAGATTCTACAACCAATCCTCATAGCATTGCATGGCCCCAAACCAGAATACATGACTGTAATCTTCTGATGGCAATTCTGGAAGACATTTTTCAATTAAAAGAACACTATAGTCACCTCAACAGCTTTAGCTTAATGAAGCAGTTTTAGTGTATAGAATTAGATCATGCCTCTCAGGTTTTACTGCTCAATTCACTACCATTTAGGAGTTAAATCACTTTGTTTCTGTTTATGCAGCCCTAGCCACACCTCCCCTGGATCTGATTGAGACAGCCCACATGAGACTAAAAAATGGTTTCACTTTCAATCAGATGTAATTTACCTTAAACAATTGTATCTCTTGCTCTGTAAATTGAACTTTAATGACATACAGGAGGCTCATGCAGGTTGTAGCAAGCTATTAACATAGCAGGGTATAAGAAAATCTAACCTAAACAGAACTTGCAATAAAGGAAGGATAAACTTTAGATGACTCTTAACAGGAAATGTTTAGGAAAGCTATGCAAGTCACATGCAGGGAGGTGTGACTAGGGTTCATAAACAACGCATTTAACTCCAATTCTACCTAAATGGCAGAGAATTGAGCAGTGACGCTGCAGGGGCATGTTATATACACCAAAACTGCTTAATTAAGCTAAAGTTGTTTTGGTGACTATAGTGTCCCTTTAAACTGCCTTCATAAACACTTACTGTAAAGAGTCATCTAATATTTACACACCCTGTATTGCAAATTCTGTTTAACCCCCTAAAGACTGAGCCAAATTTACACGTTGTGATCAAAACGAAACGTGAAAAAAAAAC